CCCCCCCCCGCGACAATTGCCGCCCGTCAGAGTGTCAAAGGCAGGGCGAAATGCACCCAGTGCGCGTAGCCAAGCAAAAAATGAGACCATGTGGTCGGACACAAGCAGACGGCAATGTTGGTTGTAATTACACACGCCAGGTGTTGTTTGTCCGATTTGCCAGCCCATGCCGCGGGTGTAGCCCCCAAGCCCCCAAGGAGGGAGCCGCCAGAAGAAAACACAACGGCGTCCAATCGGCAGCCGGAGACCGACATTTGCACGACAAGCGAAGGAGGTAGGTGCGAAGGGACACAAGTAGAGAAAGGAGCATGAGGTTGAGAGCATATGAGGTTGAGGGCGTCGGCAGGCAAAAGTCCCACCACGAGACAAACGATAGCAACGGTTGTGAAGCCGAGCGAGAAAGCAAACACCGGCCAATCAAACCACTCCCAACCCTAAACCCCTCGAGCAAAAGGGAGACATGAAACAATCGCATACAGCAGCAACACAGCAGTGCCAACAACACGAAGAGCACTCACTTCCCGACGCGGAGAACTTATACATGATCACAGCGAAAACAACACAACAGGCGGTATCACCGAGTGTTTTAGAACCGCAGGAAGGCAGCCCAACACTACGAAGCCACCGCTATGCTACCCTGGGCTCTTCTTGTCCTCGAAAAAACAAACGAAAAAGGAGTCAACCAGCGCCAGCATAGGACGCACACCTCGATACCAGCGCTCAACCCCGTTCCCCTCATCACTCACGCGGCGATCTTGGGCTTGAGGTAGCTCTCCATGGAAGGATCGAGGTCCAGCGCGACCTGGTAGTATCCCGCCGCCTCTTTGGGTTTCCTCAGTGCCGCGAGGGCGTCGCCCGCCTTGAGCCAGCACTTGGGGTAGTTCGGGAGGGTTTCCGTTGCCCGTAAAGCGTCCTCGCACGCCCTGAACACAAGCGAGCGGCAGTCGACCGGGAACCGGGGGGGGTACTCATAGCCGTGCATGCCGGAGTCGTTTCACCATTGACTTCGCATCCCTACCACGCCGGGATGAAGCACGCCGGGACGGAGCACGCCGGGGGGGAGGGCATATGTTTTGCACGCCTTAGCGGTTACACGTGCACCCTCGAGCGGACGGAGCATTGTTCCCACAGGACCGATCACCGATGGTCAATCGTTCCTTCCTAAGGTGGCTCAAAATGTCGTCCCTACCCTATCTATGCTATCGGTTACGATCGAGAAGGTACTAAATGAATATGTTCTATCCGTGCCGAGAGATTTCACCCACCCTACACGTCAGTTGGCCCAATACGGATGTTAGAGGTACTGGGCAGAGTCCGGAACGGCCATAACGTGAAGAGAACAACAACCGCAACGACGACACCGGCTATACCGACCAAAAGAGGGCCCACGATGGCACCTGAAACCATGGTCAGGTACAACTCACCAAACGCTCAGTAGGTGCAATAGGTAAGACGACCAGACAGGCTACAGTATGCAACGAAAGCGACGTTGTCGACATGATTTTACGGTGTCCAAAACAGAATCGAAGCAAGCCATTATCAATCCAATCAACACACCTCGAGCGCAACAAAAACGCGCAAAGCTTGCACATCTCGTATGACATTCCACAAGCGCCAATATGCCATGGTATAACACAACCTCGCCCAGTCCAACGAAGACGTAACACACCTTCGTAGAGCGAACTCGTACAAGTTACTTTGGTGCCATTCCACAAGCGCCAACATGCCATGGTATAACACAACCTCGCCCAGTCCAACGAACACGCAACACACCTTCGTACAGCGAACTTGTACAAGTTACTTTGGTGACATTCCACAAGCGCCAATATGCCGTGGTATAACACAACCTCGCGCAGTCCAACAAACACACCACACACCTTAGTAGAGCGAACTCGTACAGGCCATAACGGAACTTGGTCTTCTGGTAGAGGCTTCCTCTTCCCTCGCAGTCCTGGGCAAACTTTCCGAGGAGCACCATCCTCGCGCTGGGCCCGCTTGCCTCCCACAGCTGCCCATTCCAGGTGCAAGGGATGGATTATCGAGTTAGAACAGTAGTGAGCCCTGTAAAGCGCCGGTATGTGTTTAGAGATTATACCGGCATCATACCGGACACCGGCACTGTTCACAGAACGACTTGGTTTTCAGTGCTATGTTGTTGTTGTTGTCTTCACATTATAAACCGTTCCGTTCTCTCTGCCTAGTACCTTCCTCTGTCCGTACTAGTCTAACACTTGACGGGGTCGATTCCCAGGTCACTGTTTCTTTTTGTTTTTTTTTTCTCCCATCATTGGACACCCCCCCGCTCGGTGCAGCCGTCAGGGCAGAATTGGGAATCCAATCCCTACGGTCGGAAAGAGACGCGAGGAAGCTAACACGGCAGTATCGCATGTGCGGGATGGGAGAGGAGAGGTTGCCGAGAATTGTATGGGAGGCGAAGTGGGTAAACAAAAAGAGGGTTAGACAACCCACGCAATGGGTCAAGGTTGTAGAGGACGTATGGAAGGGACTCGACATCGACGAAGATGAAACGCTGGAAACGACCACAGGGGTTCAAGAAGAAGATATATGTTGCTTGTGCCGAGAGAGAAGAACAGAATCTAAGGAAAGAATCCAAGGATAAGGAGGGTCTAGAAGTGTACGGAATGTTGAAGGAAGGAATAGGGTTCAAGGACTACCTACATGGACCAATGGATGCAGGAACAAAGCTTAAGGTAAAATTCAGGACCGGGGACATAGGCCTTCGAGAAAGTCGACGAAGACATAGGACGGTAGACGACAAAGACGATGAGTTCAAATGTGATTGCGGCTTCGAATGCGAAGACCGTGCTCATGTAGTCGCGGAATGCCCGTGGTACAAGGAGGAGCGGGAAGTGTACGTGACTGAGCTGGGAAAAATAGATAGGACGTACAGGGAGATGTTTGAGGCATGGAATAGAGA